AATGTTTCCTTCGTGGAAGATGTAAGGCAACTGTGAACATTGAAATACTTAAAAGAAAAAGGTAAAAAAACATAATGCTTTGCATTTGTGAGGATTACCCATGTTGTCTGCCAGGATACCCACTAGGCAGCATTCTATTCAGAAGTATAAAAGAGAGGGAAATAAACACTCTCATTCTCTTTTTCTTCTGAGATGTAGCAGCAACAATAACAGGAATCTTCTCCAGAGAGACACACTCGGGGCAAACCAACTACTTAAATTCAAGCAAACCATGTGGACGTCATGTGCACACACACACACACACACACACACACACACAGATTATGCTAATCCCATAATTTTTTTACCCTTTTTGGGACTAACTGCACACATGTAAATATAATTTTCTCTTTTGTGAACTATGTTGTTCTTTCAGAGTCTGTCTATAATTAATAAGGAGTGCCAGAGAAAAGCAATGATAACAAAGTTGCAATATGAACTCTGGTAAAGACATGCAATGATAACAGCAAAATTGCAATATGAGCACTGGTAAAATGGTTGCTGAAAACATTAGGTTTATAATACCCAGAAGTTCATACCCAGATGTCCTCAAGGACACATGGCACGGTGGATAAAGGAGATGGTTAGATCCAGTGACAGACCCAAAGAAGGTGAGTTCAATACCCAGTTAAGGCAGTGGAGAACTTTCAGAAGGAAAATTAGCAGGAGATAACTGATAACTGACATCCATCAAACATGGCATGTGGAACTAGAACAGTCTACCCCAGTGATCGAAATAAAGGGTTCAGTTCGAAATTCCAACCACCTGAAGAAGGCCAAATATGGCGACAAAGATGAGGACAATAGTCCGACTAATGTAAATAATGTTGTTCTTTATATAAAAGTATATATAAAAAATCTTTCAGATGTTGAATTTATTTTAAATTCAAATGCTCTAAAAGTCCTCATCCTTATCAGCAATAAGACATAACTCCACCATCTACAAACAATTGACTAATGACAACCTCATCTGTTACAATCCTATATCACCACTTTGCTACACATTCACCATACATACATACCCATGTTTCTTTTTGTTGGGGAAAGACTGGGATTAATCTCACACAAAGCAAGGTGGGTCCTTGTCATAATGATTTTACAAAGCCAGATGCTCTTCTTGACAGCCAAATCTGACATTCATGTTAGTCCAAGTATACTAAGTCTTTTTATCAAGACATCATCTCTGGGAAGGTTGACATTCAAGGCTTGAGTTCTATCAATAAGAAGCTCATCTGTCCCTTGACGGGTATTATTTTTCATCCTGTGGAATGACATGCCACCCTTCTCACCAGCAGAAAAGTTAATTAATTAGGTAGCTAATGATGTCAACCATACTTCTAAGTTACATGTTATTAGTAGAACATCTAAACCTGACTGGTAAGTTTTGAATTTATTTTTGTGTGGGAATATCTATAATGTTAAATATTTTCTTTTTCATACAGTATTTTCATACTTTAATGAAAGTATAAATATCAACAACTTCAAGCCCAATAGCTCCATACATTTTTGAAGAAGCCACATTTACTATCTAAATAAGCCCATATTTAAAGATTTGATTTTCACTGCATACACCTACAGCTACATATTTTCTTAACAGGTTTAATCTAACAAAGAGCACAAAGTTCATTGGAATGCATTTCAATATCCACATTGTAAATAATTTTTGTGTTGATTCCAAAGAAAATTCTGCTAAATGCTTTATTTGTATTTTTTTTAATATATTTTCTCTTGCTTAAAAACCTTACTTTTGTTACAAAATATTACATATATTATAGGGATCATAATGTTTTTTTTTTTTTTTTCTTCTTAAATGAAATCAAAAGAATTGGTACCCAGTCTTAAAATACAGTGTGCAGCAAAAGTAATGCCTTTTTTTTCTTTTTTTTTTCAAGCTGAGGTAGACAGGACAACATGGAGCAATTGAATGGCCATCACATCACCAGACCTGGTGGGGCGAAGGTAGAACTAAACAGCAAGATGATTAAACATCAAAAGACAAAAAAATGGATTCTGAATCTGAGGATCCATGCATCCTTCCAGTTGATAAATTAATCCTTTAAAAATAAATATTTAACATTTTTCAACCAAGATTGACAATAAAATATCATGCTTCATGATTCCTTTGAAGAATATTCAAGTAAAGTCTCTAGATAGACAAAACCGGTAAGGAACAGCAACAGATGGCAACAGTTCATGACATGGCTTAAAAGAGATTTCCTTACTCATTCACCAGTCTTCTTCACCAAGCCACATGACACTTACACTTTCTTCTTGTTGTAGAGTAGTTTTCACAGTGGAGGCTTGTATTTCAATGTCGGTCCTAAAAAGGGTCCGACGTACAAAACGTTAAGAACTTGAAAAAAAGAGTTAATGACGCAGCAATCTAGTTGTGATGGTTAATACTTCAATGTCCGACATCGACTGACTCACTCAACACCACTGAGCCCAACTGGCCACTGCTACTACTACTTATTATCTGTGGGAGAGTCTATTACAATAGAATAGGTATTATGGTATAACACTTCTTCACTTTCCTCCAAACAAGGAACTTTAACACTCATACAAGCTGAGAAAAATTTTGTAAAAATACGAAAATAAAAATATTTTAATATCAAAAAAAACTTTTCTTGCCTTTTTCTCTGTTGTGGGTTGTTTCAAACCTGAAACAACCTAACACCACCAAAATTTTTTTTCATGGGGTATACTGAAAGATCTTGTTTAAAGCTTCAAATCAAAGTAATTCTTGCATTAAAACAAGCAATTTCTGATAAATTTTCTTAAATTAGTGTAGAAATGTGTCAGTGTTACTGATAGGATTCAGCATTGTATTGAACATGCAGGGGAACATTTTGAACGTTAAATAGTTTGTTAAACATGTTTTGATGTGATAATACTTATAAATTTTCTTAAAATACCATAATTTTTTTTTCTATAACAGTTAATAAATAAAAAAGGGCATTACTTTTGCAGCGCCCTGTATTTGACAAAAATCAGAAATTATCTGATTCAAACGAAATTTTCAATACTTATTCATTAATGCAGGATATTTTTACTGAATTTTACTGACTTTTGTTAGAAACCTTTAGAGAAATATTTTGGTGAGGTCTTATTTTTTACAGTTCTATAAAGAAAAATTCTTGAAGATATTATTTCAGTAAAATTGTATTTAATAATATCAAGTGTGAACATACGAAAAATTCTACCCACATCTTACCAAAAATAATTAAAAAAAAAAACACAAAAAATATTTTTTTGAGAATTGGTGCTTCCATAATTGAATATAATGTTATTTTCTTTCAGAGTGTAAAATATAAAATTTAGTGTATTTATCTACGTACAGCCTACTATGCTTTTTCTTTTTTTTTAAAATATTTGTAATTTTTCATTGCTATTTTGAAATTCATCCCGTTGCTGTTCGTCACAAGAGTTTCTTAAAGAAAAGACATGTTTGAAGATTAAAAAAATGTAAAGCTTAATGCTATTTTCGATTGTGAAACTTTTTTTAAAAGAATTTTATTTTTCTATTCCTAGCAGCAGTTAACATTATTTTTGTAAGGATGTACAAAAAGGACATAATTCTGACGTCTCTCTCTCTCTCTTTGACTGACTACTCACTATTATGAAATTGATCTAATTTCATATCTCCCGGCCAGTCGATTTTTGTGTCTTGGAAGCACTGTTTTCTGATCCATTTTTTTTTGTGTGTCTGTGTTTTTTGGGGTTTTTTTGCATTTATTCACTGATTCTTGTATGCAAGAATAACCAATGCTTACTTCAATAATTAAACATAAGTTTTTATTTTAAGTTTTTTTTTATTATTTATAAAAAAAAAATCTTTCTCATATTTTTTCCTGTATAATTTGTTCCTCTCGACAAAACCACAAAACTATTTCATCCACATAAAAAATAATTAACTGGAGTTTCTGTTAACAAATTTATTCTTAGAATAAATATTTTTCTTTTTATTTCCCATTAATGCAAATTACATTTTTAATTTTTATTTATTTTATGCTGTTTTTGTTTTAGTAGCGAATGCCTTCAAATTTATTAATGATAATAAGTTTAATAAAATCCTATAAAATAAAAAATTATATTCTTAAATTAAAACTTGGGGTTTTATTTTGACTTTTTCCCGCGCTTTTTCGGACAGGGGTGGAATTACAGTTTTGAGATTTCACCACTGCAGTGCGTAAACAAAATATTTTCATTTTGTTTTAAAAGTAAAAAAAGCTAAGCATTATTTTTTTTTAAGTTAATTTACTTCTAAAAGAATTCTAAAATATTGGATTTTAAAGAGAATTTTAAATTTGTTGTTTGCATTTTTCGTATAGGGGCTCGATGAGTGACGAAAAAAAGCGTTCCAATGTTTTAAAAATTCCTTAAAAAAAAAAAGTTTATTTATATATGGAAATAAATTTTTATTTTAATTCGGGGCTTAGGTCATTACATTATCTTACAAAAATAGAACCGAAATTTAAGTTCCAAGAAGGCATTTTTTAGATTATTTAAAATGTGTTTATTTTTTTGTTTTTTTGAAAGTTCGTGGCGGTACCTAAATCAATGGCGAATCAAGCTTTGTGTTCCTGCTGTAACCTTTTAGCAACCTTTACTAACCCTTTAATAAATCTCCTGCCATTTTTTTGTGTCCTACACTAACTGCTGGTGGGAAGCATTTACAGAACCATTAACGTGATTGTTAATAACCATAGATTTTTAATTAATTGATCATCATCATTTATCGGTAAAAATAGTATATAATCTTTCAGAAAACACGTTACATATTTTAAAAAACACAAGTCGAATTCTGCTGTCACTTGTGCAAGTGAATTACCAGTGAAGGTTTGAGTTTACCATTTAACGGGGACAACTTTTGTGTGACACCGCTAAAAAGAGGATAATTTTACGAGTCTCAGTTTTACAACAGTTGTGAATTTTTTTTTTTTTTTTTTTACATGACAGCAATGATCGATTCTTATTTTTTCTGCGTGGAAAAAGAAGTAAAAGTTGTCCGTTTTTTGCACATTGGGTGAGTATTTCATTTGCTTAATGACAAATGTATGAAACGAAAAAACAACACATTTTACATTCAGCAAGATAACATTTTTAACAATCATGGCGGTCTATCCTCAATTTTATTTTTCTTCAGTTGTTTGCTCCTTTCGATTTGATTGTTGGCGAAAAAACAAAAAAAAAAAAACAAACAAACAAATAAACCCTTTTTCCTCGTTGCCTCCAGATCGTGAGTTGTTTTAGATTACAACGAAAAAACACACTCCCCGAAATCATTTTGTTACTTAATGTGGTGACGAGTTTATGTTGGTATCGTCATCGCAAATAACCTCATTAGGGCGCCTGCTGTAAAGCGAGCTCATCTTGGAAATCATTTTTCGTATCAAGTTCGGTCCTCATGGAGTTTCAATGTAGCCTTGTGCCAGACTAAGCTATTCTTTGTAAATAAATATAACTTCATTATTAACTGTCAACAAAATTTCAGCAAAATAATAACAACAATAATAATATGTATTGTACAATATTAATGTCCAAAATCGAAGTTTCCTTCACCGAAATTTACTTTTTCATTCTATCTTTTTATTATTATTAAGCCGCAGTAAACTGGAAAAGGTTCCCAGGAATAAAACAGTTAAATATTGTCTTCCGTTGACAGAATATTTTTAAATTTATTAATTAAAAGTAATAATTTCTGTGTGTAGACCTTGTTTACGATACGTTTTTTTCCAGAACTTTCAGAAATGTATCTGATTTTGAACTCGTTATTTTAAATTCCACTACAATTCTAGATTTCCTGAGATTAATAAGTTGCGTGACGTGAGTAAACTAGGATTTTATAGTTTTTATTTGATTAATTATTAGTCATTTTTTAAAGTTTTTCGGTTTTCCCCATTTTACTGTTTTTTGTATCGCTTTTACTTTCAGTTTTTATTTATTTTTTCTGTCCCAAATGTGAATGAATGGGACCAATCGAGTTCGATCGAGAATGCAGAAACGTTTTACTTTTCTTTTACTGATAGTAAAACAAAAAAAAATTATTTCAGTTCTGTTCATCCGTAATAATCCGTAATTGTCATGAACTTGTTTTATTTATTTATTTATTTTTTGTTACAATTTTGGTATCTGTTCTTTATTTTTATTTTTTCTGTCTCAAACGACAATCATTGGAACCAATGGAGTTCGATCGAGAATGAAAAGTTTTATGATAAATTAATTAAAACAAAAACCAAAAAAATTACTTCAATTCTGTTCATCCGTACTTTTCCGTTATAACTTGTTACATTTTTTTTTTATTTAAAATTTTGAAATTTTTATTTATTTTTTTTTTATAATAGACTTAGACTTACCATAATAATATCCAAGCCTCAAACCGGTAGTTCATTTTTTATTATACTCCCTAAGCCTAGTTTTCTTGCGCAAACAACACGTATTTTCATAACCTAACACGCCTTCCTAAGTTTCAGGGCTGACTGACACACATGCATACTAAAATGACTTCGATTCCTCATGGACAGTGCCGAGCAAACCTAGAAGACGTGTTAATAAACAACTCTTTCAATAAAAATGGCAGATCGATGATAAATTGACCACAAGAACGTTATGAAAATGTCTTAACCTTTATTGAAATACGTACAATTATTTTTCTTTTTTTTTTATAGATTTAGGCAATTGTCTTCGAAATGAAACCACAATTTTACTTAAAAAAAAAAAAAAAAAGGATGATACACGGTGAAAAAAAGGCCCCCCCCCAAAAAAAAAACAAAACTGAAAGAAAAAAGAAAACATAAAAACAAAATTTTATCGCCAAAATCTTTGTGTTACGGAAGATCGCAGGTGTAAACTTTGACGTAATTTTTTTTTTTCCTGAAACCTTGGAAACTTTTTTTTGGCGTAAAATGCAGGACTACAAATTTTTATGAGAAATTTGAGCGGCTTTTTCCGGTGAAAAACACATAGATTTGAAAACTATTGCAGAAATAAAATAAAATAATTGTCAGATTTTTTAAACTTTCAGTAATTATTCACAGATGGATTTAATTATTTTTACGTTTTATGGTAAATTTGCTTTTTAAGCCCTGCGCTAAATATGTATGCTCATTAATTATTATTTGTTTTATTTTTAATTTAAAAAATCTTTACAAAAGTTGTCATTACTTTTATACACAGAAAAAGGGGTTTCGTTTTTACTATATAAAAAAAACACTTGTCATCACTTTCCGACACAACTTAAGTGCGCAGTAATTTAGACGCGTAAGATCAGAGTAAAAAGGTCTTTAAGCTTCCGCGCGCAAAATGTTCCGCAGTGAATGTAGTTAAACAAGGCCAGTAATGGCTGACGGCTGAACTCGACTGAGTCCGAACTTTTATTGTCGACAGCTCCAAAATGGTAGATTTTATCAAAATTGTTATTTCAAGTTCCGCATGCACATTTACATGGAAATATGACGATTTGGGAAAATTTAATAGATATCTAGCTCGGGGATTAAAAAGCAAATTTATCTGTTTTATTTTTAGAAAATTTTGGTAAAAATATATGTATATTTATTTTTTTATTTTTACATTTATTCCCCCCCCACACACACACACACTTATTTAATTTATAAAAGTCTTCTCCAGTAGCCCTTTAATGTCTATTAGTTATAAAGATATGTTTTTGGAGAATTTAAAATCATGAAATCTTTTGGTCAAATGGGACACTCAGTTATAGAAAATCTACTACTCTGAAACACAAAATTGCAATAAAAAATAAAACATTATTTAATTAGAAAAAATTTTAATTGCTTTATAAAATATATTATGGACACTATTGTCTTTTTACAAGAATTGTTTTCATTTCTTTTCTTAGAATAATTTATAGTTTTACTTTTAAAATTCTGTATTAATTTTTAGCAGTCAAAAAATATTGTTATTAAATTAAGACATTACTTACTAATCATAAATTTAAAAGCTCACTACAATTCAGTGACCCCAATATTTTAAAAAGAATTTTGAATTTATTTTTTGTATGTATAAAACTGTTGATTTATGTAAATATGGATGTCCAAATGGGACATTATCAGAAAATAAGAGCAGTAACTATAATAAAGTTAAAGTTTATTGGTAATTTTTCCTCAACAAGTGTTTTCATAAAGTATAAAGTAGGTACCTCCACTTTTTCAGCATAAATTTTTGATACCTAAGGTTTCATTTTAGCTTTTAATTGAAAGCTAAAGGATTAAATTTATTATTTCCAGTAAGTAAAATATTCTGGTGTATTTCAGATAGAAATTATATAGATTAGAATGTAAAATTTAATTTCAGTTTCTTTTAAATTTTCTTAATTTTAAGAAATTTGTAAACAAAACAAATTTATCGATTTTAAAACTCTTCCCAATATATATATATATATATATATATATATATATATATATATATATATATATATATTTCTGACATGTTATTTGAGTAAAATTAGAAAATTTAAAGTTAAATTAATCTGATTTGGAATAATTATTACTTATAGCATAAAAAAAAGTAATATGCAATATATTTGTTATTGATCGCTTTTGTTTATCTGAGGGGACAATTGATGGATGATTGAGTGACTAAGAGATAACAGGATGGCTGGCTAGAATTGACATAAAATTTACAAAATGTAAGTGAATGCTTTTTTTTTTTTTTTTTTTTAACTGTGTAGTAATTTTTACAAATGAACATATTTTCCGTAATTATCTAATAACTTATTGACTTTTATTTACTTTTTGAAGATGCTTTATGCAAAAATAAAAAAATTTTAAATACTATAAAATTTTCTTAAATTAATTTCTCTGTAAAGAGACAAAATTCTTAGATCATGTGACCTTCTAATAATAATGTCACCTTTAGCCTTTCATAGATGAAAAAAGGGAACAAATTAAGTAAAAAAAATAAATAATTATTTTAAAAATAGAATAGCGTAACTATTCTTTTCAATTTTGTATTCGTAAATTTTGTTTTCACTTAATTACTATATCACATCCAGGAAATAACCCAATACAGAATCTTACACAATATTAATATTTTTAAAAAAATGAAAAAAATTATTGTAAAAATTCATTATTCATATGTTAAAAAAAAAAAATTTTTTTTTTCCAAAATTATCTAAAAAAAAAAAATTCAAAATTAATTTCATTTGTGAATAAGTCCTGAAAATTTCATTACAAAAATTTCCAAATCAATGTGTTTTCAACAGGGGAAAAGGCACATAAAAAGTCAATGTAATAATAATTACATTGACTGCAATGATGCAAACAAAACAAGATTTTAACCAAAATTTCAAACATGTTAGAAAATATTAAAACATTTTAAAAAATAATCAAAAATACTTTGGTCTTTCATCTTAATAACATAAAACATTTTGACAAACTTTATTTTTATTAAGTTTGTGGCCTTTTTCATTATGCTATGCTGTTTTCAGCGGAAAAGTGGTGGTACCTACTATAAAGCCAAAGTACCTAAAATTCAATAAAATATTAGATTGCTTAGAATATTTTCTTAAATTTTTAAGATTGATGGGTAGTTCAAAAATATATATATATGAAAAAGGCATTCATGTTATATTCAAGTAATTGTTACAGTGATATACCCCTTAGAAAAAATTTAAAAACATAAGTCTATCGAGAGAGTTGTCAAGAACTCATAAAAACATCAACATCCATGTTAAAAACGCTTTTCTGCAATATTTTAAACTAAAAGTAATATTTGCTCCAAATCAGATTAATTAAACTTTAAATCAGCTAATCTTCCTCAAATAAAGTTTCAGAAAAGTATATTTTATTTTTAAAAGATATTGTATCAACAGATGTGAATGATTTTAGCACTTTTACTGATAATAAATTTAAATTCAGTTTAAAATACACCAAACTATTTTGCTTATAAGAAATATAAAATTTAAAATTAGGCTTGGAATTAAAATATAAGTTTCAAGAAAGATTTTTCATTTTTTAAAATGCATTTTAAACTTGCTTCATTTTGGAGATATCTACACTTTTGCTACTT